TGGTAAGCCAATTAACTTCTCTGCTATATAAGAAAGGGACCAGAATTGATACATTCTAAAATCATTTTAAACCTGAGTCTCCATGTCTCATCTACACATTTTTTTTAAGTTTAGTTGATTCATTCAGATATCGTTTTGCTTCTAGATGTTAACATTTATTTTGAGTCAACCAACATCTATTAGAAAAGATGTCTTTCTTATGTAATAAAAGCCTAATCCTACAGGATGATATCCATTTACCTTACGGTCACACAAACATTCAATAAATTAATGTGTATGATGGAAAGAAGGGGGCAAATATAGTACCCGAATATACCTAGTTAGACCTAAGGTTAAATTTAGATGTTTCTGTAGAGATGTATGAAATTACTAGAAATACTGTTTGGTAGAATTAGGCCAATCTATGAAAAGACGACAAATCCAACCCCTAAGAAGCACTGTATGATTAGAGTTCCCACTCAGTGAGTGTTCTGAAGAACTCTGAGTAAAAAAATATTTTTTAAATGTCACGTCCTTAAATGAGATAATACACAGTCATGCACCACATAATCACACTTCAGTGTTGAACCACATAGATGACTATGGTCCCATAAGATTGTAATACCATATTTTTATTGTACCTTTTCCATATTTAGAAATACTTAGATACAGAATATTTATCGCTGTGCCACAACTGCCTACAGTATTCAGTACAGCCACATGCTGTAGCCTAGGAGCAATAGGCTATTCCACATAGTCTAGGTGTATAGCAGGCTCTACCATCCAGGGCTGTGTAAGTACGCTTAATAATGTTTGGATAATGACAATCACCAAATGATGCATTTCTCAGAATGCATCCTCCTCCTTATGAGATAAATAAAAATGTAAATACAAATGTTTGGGCACGTAATAGACAATACATCTTGCTTGAAGTTGAATAGTCTCTCAGCCTTAAAAATTCTTACAAATCCTCTTATCCGTTCTTTCAGTAATTAGAAGGAAACAGAATTTTCCACCAGACTCTGCTACAGCGATTTCGTCATAACCAATACCTAGAACAGTGCCTGAAAACATGCTCGGTAAGTACTAAATTAACTTTTTATAAACTTCAAATTCTTTATAAACTTTAAATTTTTGCTTACTAAACTTAGTGAATAAAAACTTTCAGCTTAACATGAGGCCTAGCTAAGATTTCCTTTGCAAAAGCTAGATTTGTATGTGTTTTCTAATACCTGTCAGAATAAGGCACATGCAACCCCCTCAAAATTAAACTGATATAAACATGTTAAAGTACATTCATTCAGATTGACCTCAATCCTGCTGGATGCTCCTAACATGGGTGAATCTTAATGCTCTTTCTTAAGGTTTTTTCTTTCTTTTTCTGAGACAGAGCCTTGTACTATTGCACAGGCTGGGGTGCAGTGGCATGATCTCAACTCACTGCAACCTTTGCCTCCTAAGTTCAAGCGATTCTCGTGCCTCAGCCACCCAAGTAAGCTGGGATTACAGGCATGCGCCACCATACCCAGCTAATTTTTTGTAGTTTTAGTAGAGATGGGGTTTTGACATGTTGGCAAGGATGGTCTCAAACTCCTGGCCTCAAGTGATCCACCCAACTCGGCCTCCCAAAGTACTGGGATTATAGGTATGAGACACTGCACATGGCCAGGGTTTTCAATTTCTTACATACAGTAGTGGCTCTGCTCAAGATGAATAAAGATAGATGAAATTCAGCATATCCAAATGGGCCTGATCCCAAGACAATAGGGTATATAAGGATAAGCACTGGAATCCACAGACCCTGGGATTCAATTCCCAGTTCTGTCTCTAACTTACTGGGCAACTTGTGGCAATATGTTTAAATTCACTAGTTTTCTTACTTGTAAAAAGAAAATGTTGGATTCCATTTCCTTGAAAATATCTTTAATATTAATTTTTTTTTTTTTTTTTTTGAGATGGAGTCTCGCTCTTGTTACCCAGGCTGGAGTGCAATGGCGCAATCTCGGCTCACCGCAACCTCCGTCTCCTGGGTTCAGGCAATTCTCCTGCCTCAGCCTCCTGAGTAGCTGGGATTACAGGCACGTGCCACCATGCCCAGCTAATTTTTTGTATTTTTAGTAGAGACGGGGTTTCACCATGTTGACCAGGATGGTCTCGATCTCTTGACCTCGTGATCCACCCGCCTCGGCCTCCCAAAGTGCTGGGATTACAGGCGTGAGCCACCGTGCCCGGCCAATATTAAAATTTTATAACTCAACACAATATTTTACTTCACTTTTATAAAAGCTTTCACACATATTATCTCAACCCTGTGAGATAGATTTCACAATTTTCATGTTAAAGATGAGCCAACTGAATTTCAGAAGGTACCTGACTTGTCTGCAGCTGTAAGTGCTGATTTTAGAACTGAAAATTGAGTATTGTGACTCTTCCTGTGTCACCAAGACACAATTCAATTCAACTGCAAGACCAGAAAACTGTTAAAGAGAGTACTGGTTGCTAGTCATTAAATAAAGTACCTACAATCAACTTTCATAAGAAGTTATTTGTAGGGCTTTAATTCTGCTGAGGGCTGAACGTTTGTGCCCCCCAAAATTTATATGTTGAAGCTTACTTCTCAATGTGACGATATTTGCAGGTGAGGCCTCTGTGGGACAATTAGGTCATGAGGGTGGAGTAGTCACAAATGGGAGCTACGCTTTTATAAAAGAGACCCCAGAGAATTCTCTTGCCCTTGTTTCTGCCATGTGAAGACACAATGAGCAGAGGTCTGTCTATGAATCAGGAAGCAGTCCCTTGCCAGACATCAAATCTGCTAGTGCCTTCATCTATGAAAAATAAATCTGTTATTTAAGCCACCCAGCCAATGGTATTTTTGTCATAGCAGCCCAAAGGGACTAAGACAAACTCTAAAGGTATGTCTTTCTCATGTCACCTTAAAGATTATGGGAGAGCTTTATTTCCTTGGCATAAAGATACTCTTAACTTGTGTCTTCCTAATTATCCATGTGCCAATCATACACTCTTTCCAAGCTTTCAGATGTGGTTCATTTCTTGTTTCTCCTCATTATATGCTCGTGGGTGGAACGCCTAGAGGAACATGAGTCCTCATGACCTGGGGCTGAACCACCAGTGAGTGAAAGCAAGGGAAGAGGGCTCTTCTACACTTACCTGTCCCATCATTGTCTCCTTATACTGCTTCTTCTGGGTCACTTTGATTGGAGGCAGTTTTGTCACAGCAGACACCAGGAAGTTCATGAGAATGTCCTCACAATTGGCCAGTTGGTCCACCATGTTCTTCAGGCTGGCTGGCAGGTAATGGGAGTACAGGTAGTGATAATATCTGTAAAAATCAAAGATGGGTTTCACAGGGGGCCATTAGCACATGGTGACAAGTGAACTTTGGAAACAGAAAACACATACTCATTCTTTGAATCCCTTAATATGTCATCAATGGTGATGACAATGATGATGGTGATGATAATAACTATCACTTCTACAGTGCTTGTTATGTACCAGATAGTGTTCTAAAGTGTTTTACAAGAAATGCTTCATCTAGTCTTCATAAGGAACCTACAAGGCAGGTTCTATTATTACTCCCATTTTACAAATGAGGAAACAAGGCACAGAGATACAGACATTGCTTGCCCAGTCTAACTCTAATATCAGACTGGTCAGTTAGAAAGAAATAGAAAACCTAATTACTTAGATGGAAAGAGAAGTTACTTACACATAATCATTGGCTTAATCAGAACTGTATTCAATATTATCCCTTGATTCTGAGTGTAACAATAGACTGTTCTATATTTGTGCACTATAAATGATATATATTTCAATCCTGTTAGAGCAAAATCTGAATTAATGGGGTGGTCAATCATTAATAGAAAACCCACAATTAATTTGAATTATTTCTCATCCTACTATTTTAAAAATGTATTTATATACATATAGCATATATTTATAGGGAAAATCATTTGAGTGAATCAGATTCTTTGAGTGGTGATGGCAGGAGCAACAGGAACAAATAACTTTCAAGAAGTGAAATCTTAAGATCAAGAATCAGTTGGCCCAAATGTTTATGCCTTGGGCATTTCCAAGCTATCCCTGAGATAGCAAAATTCCCTATTCATTATTTTAAAAGACTAAGGCAAGATTCGTGTGTTCACCTTTACTATGAGAGAAAAGTGGGGATTTTGTTGCTGGTTGAGTGGGGAATGTTAGCTATCTACACTCACTAGTTTGGGAATCTTATTTGGTCTTTGGCTTTAAAGACCAAATATATGCAAACAACTGCCAAATTTGTATCTCCACCTCTGAGCTTTTTCCATATATCCTTTTGGATGTCTTAACATGTCCAAGACTGAACTCCTATATTTTCCCTGATATTTGTTCCATCTGTAGCTTTCCTCACCTCTGTTGATCAGCACTCTAATCTTGCAGTGCCTCAGGTCAAAAGACCTGGAGTCATCAAACTCTACATCCAGACTGTCCAGGCACTATGCTAAAGCATCTTCAAAACATGTCCACGATCTGATCGCTATTTACCACGACCACCATTCACTTTCTGATCCATGGTCCCACCATCTCTTGCCTAGACAACGTTACTCATCTCCTTATAGGGCTTCCTCCTTGAACTCTGGGTCCCTTATAGCCTCTTTTCAATATAACATCCAAAGTGGATGCATAAAAGAAAAGCTGGATTTCTCCCTCCTGTTCCAACCCTGCCCTCCTCCCATGTCTCTCAGAGAAAAAGTCAAGTCCTCATGATAGACATCAAGGTCCTGCATCCATGCCTCATAACTTTTCTGACTTGCTGTCATTCATTCCACCCAGTCACAGTGGTCTTCTCGATGTTTCTCCAGTATTCTGCCTCAGGGCATTTATTCTAGCTGTTCTCCTGCCAGAACACTCTTGCTGCACTTACCCGCTTAGCTAACTTCCTCTCCACGTCTCTACTCAAATCTCACCCAATCAATCAGAATCACCCTGGACACCCCCAACCTGCCTCATCTCCACCTTCAGCACTCCTGATCCCTTTTCCTACTTTGTCTTTTTGTTATATCACTTATCTCCTTAATAAACTACATAATTATTATGTAGACTGTGTCTTTCTTTGTTGGAGTATAAGAATGGCATTGGCAAGGAATTTTTTTCTGTTTTACTCAATGATGAATCTCAAGCACCTATAACAGTGCCCTTGGGTACTGACTTAGGTATTTACTTTTATTGTTTGTTATTCTACATATGCAGTTACCTAATATGCCCTGAGTGTATTTTCACACTTCACAGCAACTGAAAATGTTACGCTACCATAATTTCTGGAAATGAAATATGCCAAGAGGTTTCACTGGTTTCAAAAACACACATTTGACATATTAGAAAAACTTAAGCAGGGATACAGACTAATTTTCATTAATGCTCTTAACAAGATTTGGCCTAAGTTCCTATTTATGCAGCCACCAATATAAAAAGTTTTGTAAAGTCTGTCAGAGAGATGTCCAGATTACTCACTTGTGGTAAATAGCAGCTCCTGTCAACACCATGGAGTAGTCGTTCGTCCACTTTGATGTGTATCCCCATCGCTCTTTAGAGTTATCCCAGAAGTGGCTGCGCGCGGGGTACCCCACAATCCTCTCAGGGAAGCTCTGCCACACCGTGAAGGCGAAATCCACCTGCAGGCAGAACACAAGCCAAACAAGCAATCAACAGCGTTAGCAAATGTCAACAAAAACATTACCTTCTTCCTGCTAATTCATAATGCAAAATCCCGAGACTGTGGTGAAACATTAATTCTATGTATTCATCAGCAAATTAAACTGACTGCTTGACATTTTGCCCCATAATTATGCACATTTTAATGTTTTCTGTTAAAGAAATTTCAGATTAGTGTGGAAATGAAAGGAAGGAAAAACATTTGCTGATATGCCCTTTAAAAATTCAGTCTGTTCCAGCTAAGACATAAGTTGAAAAAGCAGTTGCTTCTCTTCCCCCTCCCACAAAGGTACACGTGACTTGATTCACATGAGACACAAACATATCTTTTTTATACATGAGAAATTTCCCATGTATATCCAAAGAATGAATATACAGCATATATCATACCCAGCATATATCAAAGCCACAGTGTCTAAAATAAAAGCACTCTCTCAAGAGTAAGAGAAATTACTTTTTAAAAAAACACAAGTTCTAAAAGGAATACAGAGCAGATATCATAAAGGAAACATAATTCAGGCCTCTCAGGTTTGAAGATGCACAGTTTAAGAGAAACTAGAAGAAAGTATCCACAGTGAAATTCAAGTTCACTAAGAATAAGTGGGGACAAGGCCAACTGAAGCCACAGGATTATTTTAAAGGAAATACAGCCAAATGTCTTTCCAGTGCTTATAACAGCCTAAAGCAAGTACTTCTGAACCTGCTATAAACCAGCATTTATAGTTAGCAAATGCTCTGTTTTCAAATGCAAAAATCACTTCTGATTTCTATGATCATTTGATGGATGGTAAATCAGAATAATAAACAGAAAATAGGCTGGGCGAGGTGGCTCATGTCTGTAATCCAGCACTTTCGGAGGCTGAGGCGGGCAGATCACCTGACATCAGGAGTTCGAGACCAACCTGACCAACATGGAGAAACCCTGTCTCTATTAAAAATACAAAAAAAAATTAGCCAGATGTGGTGGCGCATGCCTGTAATCCCAGCTACTTGGGAGGCTGAGGCAGGAGAATCACTTGAACCTGGGAGGTGGAGGTTGTGGTGAGGTGAGATCATGCCATTGTACTCCAGCGTGGGCAACAAGAGCGAAACTCCGTCTCAAAATAAAAAAATTTAAAAAATAAATAGAAAATAGTAACAGCAAACAATCATATAATGCTCATAATTGTGAAATTATGAGCACAATAATGTGTGCAATGGTGCAGTTATAGGTGCTTATGCATTTTAATTCTTTCCATCGTCACAATACCCCTGTGAGGTACTGGCTTTTACATTCTTCACTTTACAGAAAGGGAAACTAAGATATATTAAAAGTTCAAGTAATTTTCTAAGCTAGGAAGTGGCAGAGCCAAGATTCAAACTCAGGCAGTCTGGTTTCAAATGGATTATGTATGGTATCATAACTTCTCTTTCGGCTCTGTTACTCCGGTGTTAAATTTGTCTCTTATACAGGTTATGATTCACCTCGCAATCTTTGCCCTATCTCTTCTTGATCAGCAATACAAATTGGAAATTTCCTCTGTTTTGCAAATACTTTGAGTCTTGGCACTGTGATGGTAGCTATAGGACTGAGTGATGCTGCTAAGTCCAAGTCCTGCCCTCTCAGAGGTTCAAAAGCAGGACCTGCGATGGTTAATTGTGTCAATGTGACTACACCATGAGGTACCCAGATTAAAGATGACTTCTGGGTATGTCTGTAAGGGTGTTTCTGGATGAAATTAACATTGGAATCTGTGGGTTCAGAAAAGCAGACTGACCTCGCCAATGCAGATGGGCAATATTCAGTCAGCTCAGGGCCTGAATACAAAACAAACATGAAGGAAGGAGGAATTCACCCCCTTTTTCTTTTTGCCTGCTGGCTGAGCTGGGACATCAAACTTCTATTGCCCTTGGACAGGGATTTACAGCATTAGCCCTCTGGTTCTCAGGCTGTAGAAGTCTGTCTAGAATTATATCAGTAGCTTTCCTGGGTCTCCAGCCTGCAGATGGCAGATCGTGGGATTTCCCAGCTTCCAGAATTGTTTGAGCCAATTCCTCATAATAAATCTATCAGTGTATGTATGTATGTATGTGTATGTATATACATATATATTCAATATATATATTCATCCCCTATTGATTCTGTTTCCCTGAAAAATCCTAATATACTGCCCTCTCTTAAGATAAAGAAGACTTAAAAATATGGCTTGTCCCCCAAATATAACATCCAGATGGGGCCGGGCACAGTGGCTCACACCTGTAATCCCAGCACTTTGGGAGGCTGAGGTGGGTGGACCACTTAAGGTCAGAAGTTTAAGTCCAGCTTAGCCAACATGGTGAAACCCTGTCTCCACTAAAAGTATATTGGCTGGAAGTGGTGTTGCAGGCCTGTAATTCCATCTACTGGGGAGACTGAGGCACAAGAATTGCTTGAACCCAGAGGCGGAGATTGCAGTTGGCCAAGACGGTGCCACTGCCCTCTATCCTGGGCGACAAAGCAAGACTCCATCTCAAAAAAAAAAAAAGAAAAAAGAAAAAACCCAAAAATCCAGAGCGGGTGGGGGTGGGGTGGAGTGGGGTGAGGGAATTCCAGAGGTGAGCAAAAACAACCCAGGGTGGTGGAACCGACATTAAGAAAGCTTGGCAGGGAGCATGTCATCTCAAAGTTGAAAGACAGCAGGGGATGGAGAACACTCGCCAGAAAATTGAAATCAGGTTGTGATAACCTACACCTTTTCACTGGCAGTCAATATTAATGGTGCCAAATGATGGGACAGCATATTATGCAGCCTATTGTCAAAGAATCAGCCTGGATGTCAGCACTCTTTGGGGCTTTCCATTATTCTTTGAAAAGGAAACACATGCACTAGCAACTACTACAGAACCCAATGGGCGTTCTCATCACATGAATTTCTTACTATCTTAAAGCTGTTTCAAGTCATTTCAAAGGAACTCAAAAGTAAATTCAGATAAAACTATGATTCTTGTGATAGCTCTGCTTTCATGCAGATTATTAACACATCAATGAAGGCAAAGGTCAGTTTAAGGCCCTTTCTCTCAAAAACCAACATCTGTTTTCTTTTGAGCAGTGTTTGCAGCAATCCAGATCAATGTAAATAACTATAAACCATCTATAATGCCCTTTATAGGATGCTGTTTAAAAATCTATCCTTAATGCTGCAGAGAGACATTTAAACAATCTAAGATCCTTAGAGAGGAAAAAAAGTGAACCAAAATCTATTCACCTAAAAAAAGAGAAATGAGAAATCCTTGCCCAGGACCATTTTAGGCAACACAACCACTCCACTGATCAGCAGGCAAAAGCAAACCAGACTGCCAGCCTCTTAGATTTACATATCATTTTCAACCCACGTTGACTTCTAATTACTTCACATACAACACATGTTCCTCCCAGCATGCGATGAGTGGTTGGAACTGCTATTCTTTGAAAAGAAATTCACCAGCATGAGGATCCATCATAGCAGTTGCAAGTTATTTCACCATGGGATAGGGAAAAACAAATCCTGGAGTGAGACTAATTGCCTTGTGCCCCGGGGAAGAGAGAAGATGAATCAATACTGCAGGTCACAGGATGACAAATGTCTTGACCATTTGTTGCCCCAGGGCAGTGTGATGCTTTGCCTGTGTCTGCCCTCTAAAATCCACTGTCCACTCTTCTTGTCCTGCCCTGTGCCCTCGGATGATGGACCCCAATGAGCTGCATCACCTGGTCAGGTTAGGTCAATGGGAGTCACCAGCAGGAAAATCGAGGCAGGACAGAGAGATGGGTCAGTGTATCTCTTCTCTGTTCCCTCTATCCTTTGCCACTAGAGTTCTGGCAGTAGCCAAGTCCTTCCATGATCATAGCACTCGTAGAGCACCCTCTTCTTCCTAGTGCCCTCTCTCAGGGCCTTTGGGAAAAGGAGTTCCTTCTCTCCTTCAGGCCAAGGGGAGGAGCTGCTTTCTGCTATCATTGCTCACCAGGTACTTCATCTTTTCTTATGGGGTCTTTTAACCCCATCTGTACCTCCCTAAGTAATCCCAAGTTCCTTCGTCTGAATCATCTGATTTAAATTCAGTTTGTTGCCAGGACTCAGATGTAAGCTGGAAATGTGTAACTGAAGTATCTGGCATGGAGACCAGGACAAAGAAATCTCTCAATAAATACCTGATGAATGAATGTGCTCCAGCTTCCCCTGCAGAAAGCGGCAGAAAATATGCAAGCTGGAGCGATCTGTACCCTGTATTCCATAGCTGCCTTTCCCTTTAAATGTTAAATTTATCAACATCCCTTCCTCCTGCCAACCTACATATGATACAATTGGCAATGTGTCCACCTTTAATCCTCAAAACCCGCAACGCCCCACCCTGCGCAACCACTCATTCAACAAGTATTTATAGAGTTTCGGCTGCATAGAAAGCATTTTAACAAGGTGAGGCCCAGGACATTTTGTCCTGGGATAGGTTGCCCTGGCATCTAACATCTGATGGCAATCGAAAACATCTATGGAATTTCAAGAAGGAGATACTGAGTTCACCAGCCTAGGCCAACATCCAGTCCTGGCTCTGTGGGCAGCAGGCCATTAGAACCAGACTGGTGTCCAGGAAAGTGCAGGCTAGTAAGTGCCGATGTTGACATTAAAAGAAAAATGATTGCGAACACAAAGTAAAAAAGAAGGGGAGGGGAAAGGTATAAGTAGTTGCGTCTCCATGCTTTTTAGTTGTTGCCATTAATAATGTATTTCTCGTATACTCCATTTTTATATAGCTGTCTTTGGTCCCCTGCATGGTTTAAAGGAAGGTTTCAGAGATCAATACTCATTCGAGTTGTAAAAATTGGTTTTCTACCATATCTATCTTTCCTCCTCTCTCTCTCCTCCGCGTACATTCTCTGGGCAATCTTATTTTTGGCACAAATACCTGAACATCTGAAATAGGAATCTCCATCACAGCCTTAAAGTGAAACCATTTGCTCTTGTATAGGTGAAAGAAAATGAGCACTTTAAACCATGATAGAAAAAGCTACCTTTAGAGCCCAAAATAGTGTTCCCTCACTGAGGCTATAGGATATGTGGGGAAGGATGGGATTGTTTCCTCTGGACAGCATGGTTTCAAGATAATGCAGAATAGGCACCCTTTCCCTTCCCCTAAGTTCTGGGCACCTGCCCACAACTGTGCTCTTTAAAAACAAAAAAGGAGGGCAGGCCTAGGAGGAGAGGTGAGGCCCAGTTCTGCAAATGAGGAGCAAATTAGCAGAGACAATGAAGGGGAGATGCCCTCCTCAGAGTGCCAGGTGGCGGCAAGGTGTGAACAGGACTCGAGCTGATTAAAACCAGCACTGTAGGAAGTTGTGAAAAATGTTCTTAACTGCTGCCAAGGCATGACTAAGAGAAGCACTAGCATCGTGCAACTTGGGGCGACTGTCTGAAGAGCCCACCTGACGCTCCTCAGGCATGGGTTCTTACCTCTGTGGTTGAAAGCACGGTGTCCTCATCAAGGCTGAGCACGGCGTCTGTGATGATGTTGTCGTAGGGCAGAAAACGGCTGCTCATAACCTGAGAGGAAGTAGGAGGTAGGCAGTGGGGAGGGAAAGAGGTAACTTCAGTCTTGTTTTCAGGACAATTCTCCCATCCTCACCTGCATAAATCATGTGCTACTGGCCGGCACTTAGTGGCTCATGCCTGTAATCTCAGCACTTTGGGAGACCAAGGCAGGCAGATCACAAGGGAAAGAGATTGAGAATATCCTGGCCAACATGGTCAAACCCTGCCTCTATTAAAAATACAAAAATTAGCTGGGCGTGGTGGTACACACCTGTAGTCCAGCTCCTTGGGAAGCTGAGGCAAGATAATCATTTAAACCCAGGAGGCGGAGGCTGCAGTGAGCTGAGATCACACCACTGCACTCCAGCCTGAGCGACAGAGCAAGACTCCATCTCAAA